AGGCCCCCTGACCTAGGGAGCTGCAGGAAGTACCGCCTTCACACGGGAAGCGCTTCCCGCGTCGCCGCTTTAAAGGTCCAAAGCCTCGTGGGCAGTACAGCGCCCTCTGCTGGGGGCCTCCGGTTCTGAGTCGGTGTGAGTAACGCCCAAAGCTTTGTTTAAATCTCCGGCTTCAGTTCTTTCCCGTGGACGCCTAGACTCTCCAAATTTCCATCTATTGTTCTCAAAGCACGACAGGACTAATACGACTTCGTGGAATGCACCCCCTTGCCGCCCCCAACTCCAACACCTCCCTGAAGATCCGACTCCAAAGTCACCTCCCTTAAGAGCCGTTCCTGGTACCTCATCCTCTCTTCCACCAGATCAACTCATGCCTGTGCGCCCACAGCCCCTAGGCTTCACTTTTCTTTCCGCAGAAACCTCCTGGCACTGCTGATTGACCTGGCCACCTCCCCTCGCTCGACGGAGAGCTCCTGTGGGGCAGGGTCTGCGATTAGTTACTGTGCCCTCCATCTCCCGCATCCTCCTGCCTCGCACCCAAGTTCTGAACATTGTTCCGAAGCAAGAAACCATGGCTTATATCAGATTCAGGTTAGGAATGATACACAGGATATATAAAGTACTAAGAAAGTATGTCTTCCCAAATTAGTGACAAAGATTAAGACTAATACTTGATATATTCTCAACAGCTTTCTGTGAATAAGGAGACTCAAGAAAGAAGCCACACACATCATGTACAAAATTGATTTTTAATGGAGTTGATAGTCATGTGCAAATTTAAGCATTATATATACAAGAGCTGATGTTTCTACAGAGCTGTCTGTTTGAGCAAGACCAAACTCTCAAAATACAACATAAACCCAAACCAATTTGTTTTTTTTCTGATGCTCGTTTTTTTTTGCAAGTTATAATATTATGATCAAATAAAACATAATAAAATTCTTGTTTCCCCACAGGTGCTGTGTTTCCTTATATGCTTAAGAAATGGTATCTGGGCACAGTTTCAAGCAGTTCCTGGTAGCAGGACTGAACAAACTTACGTGTCACAGTACATAATGAATTTTACGCACAGAGCAAATGCTTGCCGCTGTTCTGCTATCTTGCTAAAACCAGCAGAGATGCAACGTTAAGGTTCTCCCCCCACCCCCACCCCCCGACCCAATGTTTGCAGTCCTTTCCCTTGTAATGAAACCTTTATTACTATGGATGTCTCACACTTCATGATGACTAGAAAACGCCAGAGGGGTGCGATACGCTTGGAGTGCATTTATTTACATGCCGCAGCTCATGGGAGCTAGTAACTAGCCCAGATATGGATTTCACTGGTTGGAAAAGAAGTGCCACATCATCAGAGATTTTACCAATTGAAAAAAGTAGCTCAAGACTATATTGCAACATCATTGTGAAACATTTAACTTTTTAAGAAAGTTTAAGTTTAAAGTGTACTATCCCCTGCAGCTCAATATAAATCACCATTTATTTCTTTGTAGTAATACATGGAGTCAGAATGGGTTTTCCAATCTGATTTAATCCCTGAGCAGCTAGGTTAAAAGTTTTAACGTCTTAAAAAGCCCAATAAAAAACTAAATATTAAAACTCTACCAAGAATGTTACAGTGATAAATATATTTCTGTACAGAAACATTAAAGCTACTTAGAGGCTATTTACACTCTTTTACCCCTTACTCCCACTCGGAAAACAATATATAGTTCTGGAAAATTTTCAGATACTTGAGCTGGACCCAAACTACCTTCAGTTGAGTTTTACTTGAATCAGAGAACACCTCTAGTTAGATAATATGCTGAGAAATATAATAAATCACTCTACCCATAACTTTTTATCATCGTGATGAATGTTTTATTAGAAATATGATGTTTGCTTTTACCAAGTCAGGCTAAACATCCTAGCCCTCTATCAAACAAATGGAAAAAAAAAAAAAACCCTTAAAAAAAAAAGCTTTTCAGAAAGTCAGCAATGGTGACAGCAAGTAGTTCTGAGGAAGAGCCAGCTAAAAGTGTGTGTTAGCTGCTGTCAAGCTGGCCCCCGAATCATGGTGACCCCATGCACAACAGGATTGGATTGTTGTAATCCATAAGGTTTCATTGGCTGATTTTCAGAAGTGGATCGCCAGGCCCTTCTTCCTAGTCTTAGCCTGGAAGCTCTGCTGAAACCTGTTCAGCATCATCGGACCATGCAAGCTTCCACGGACAGACGAGTGGTGGATGCACTTCAGGTGCACTGGCCAGGAACTGAACCTGGGTTTACCGCATGGAAGACAAGAATCCTACCACTGAACCACCACCACCCTCGGCTGTAAGTCTAAGAACCCAGTGAGAGAGGGTATACAACATCTGTCAAATTCTGTTTGGCTTAAATATAGCTATTTCTACGGTGTCACAACTGCTCCGACACCCCCTGAACACTGGTTAAACACTTGAATGCTCAAGACCAGAGCCGGTGTCACAGTTATTAAGCCAGCCTTCACACGTACAACTGTGGACAGACCAGACTATGGGACTGACGCACTCTGTCGGGCGTGGTCTCTGAGAAGAGATCCTAGACCCAGACTGAAGACACTGTCCACTGTCGTTGAAGGGGATCCTAGGCACAGCTTGGCCCCATGCCTACAGACTGCATGAGTCACTCTGCACTTTTAAGTAATGACCAAAATACTGCACAGATGCATTTAGACCAATAAAGCACAATAAAGGAGCTTCTTCCAGGGCAAAACATTCTCTAGGGAAAGAGTATTTGCTTTTGATAACCGAACACCTAAGAAGAACCTTTGATGTCTTTTCCCTTCTCAAAATACAGGAACAGGAAGAGACTGTGAAGATCTTCCAATTCCCTCTGACAAATGTGGAAACTGAGGGCTGAAGTGGGGTAACGGGCACAGTCAAGAAGTGGCAAAGCCAGGCTGTCCCAAGTACCTAAGAAGAAGGAAAAAAGATGACAGAAAATACATAAGAAGCAAGGAATATAAAGGCAAGATGCGGGCGGGAAGAGCCAATGCTCTCTGGGCTCTCACTGGCCTGCAGCTACCCCACCCCCGCCCCGGCTCTCTGACTGGGGGAACCTGCTAGAAGACAAATGGCTGAAGTGCAGCCCAGAGCCATTCCTTATGCTCACATGTTTATGAGCTCAGTTAGAGAGAAAAATGACACCTGGGTACCATAAAGTCAGCTTCTGATGTCTACACCTGACAGGATTCCAAAGATACAAGTCAACCTTAGCTCAGGAAGCTGAAATGTCTCCTGAAAGCACTGATAGGAGACATGGACTACAAAGGCACCAAGGATGAAGACCCCCCAGGGCAGACACAGCCTGGTGACCTGAGAGCACTCCCTTACTGGTCTCTGGGTGCAGATGGCAAGAGTAAGTCCACAGCCTGGGCAGTGAGGGGCCAAGGGGGGCAGCCATCCTGTGAGGTAAGAGACAAAAGCACCTCCCTCCGGAAATTTCGAAGAAGTCAGTTTCTTATATTTTCTATTTTAAAACTTCATACAGGTAGAAATTATAATAGATCTAAGGGCAACATCCAAGCTCTGAGACCTCCTATGGCCCCGCTTGGAATGCCCCCTCACCGTCACAAGAACTCCTAGAATGTTGTTGTACTCAATTCACACCGTGTAAGAAGCCATAATGGCTCACAATTTACCGTATGTCTATTTTGTCATGCGCCAGACACAGCTCTAGGTACTTTCCGTTCATTTCCCCCTAACTTTATGACCTCAGCCCTGAAAGTATTATTATCACCATCCCCATTTGGCAGATGAGGAAACTGAAGCTCAGAAGTTAACGGAGTCACCCAAAGTCACCCAGCAAGAACAAAAAGCATAATTTTGAAGTTTCCAAAGTATAAATGGCACGTACACTTTCTACATGGTTCAGTCGTACAAGTTTAAACAAAGACACTCCAAGCTCAGGGAAGCTGGGCATGTCCAGCTGTATTAAAACTCACTGCCTCTCTCAGTGCCAGCCTAGGAGACTGCTAGGAGGACGGCTGTGAGCCAAGCCCCCATGCAAGCAGCAATTCTGGCAGCACCTGGGGTGGCTCAGCTCCTGGCAGTTCTCAGCTTCCTCCGGAAGTACTCGGGGGCAGCCTCGTACAGCCACTCGGCGTCCACGACGCAGAGGTCTCGCATGTAGCACTTGTTGGTGTAGAGCAGCTCGGTGTACACGACGCAGGCTGGCTTGCAGTGGAAGAGGACAGACGATGGGTGGATGGCCACCGGCTGGTGGGTGTCCGTGGTGGCATAGGTGCCATCCGGCTGAAGTTCCGCGGTGCTCATGAAGAGGCTGTGTGCCAGGCAGCGGCGGATGCTCTCCGTGTCTCCTCGGGATGACATGACAGGCATTGACATCTGTTTCAGGAGAAAGCAAGAAATGGAAAAGATTCACACATAAACCCTGCTCACAACACAATGTAACTATACCAAAAAAAAAAAAAGCACTTAAAAAACAGCACACACATACACAGAGACAGATGCACAAACACATACACAGAAAAAAAAGTCCAGAAGACACTACTCCAAACTTTTAACAGTGGTTATCTCTGGAGGGGCAGGATTAGGGGGGACTTTCAAACTTTCTGCATTAAATGCCACTATTTTCCACATTGTTTAACAAATATTTAACAAATACACATTTGCTTTTGTACTCTGAAAAAATAATAAAAGATATTCCCGCTAAAAATTCTTAGGAAGCATTTTAATAACTTTGGAGAATGTTTTATAAAAGCATTTATAAAAGCTGAGTATAGATTATACATAAATGGAACTATGTGGAAAAAAAAAAAAAAAAGTCACTTAAAAAACATGGCTATCAAGGAATCGACCAAAATAGTGAGATGTGGAATTATGGGTAATTTTTATTTTCTTCCTTATTTTCAAATTTCTCCTACAACAATAATTACTTTTATAATCACTAAGAATAAGCAATTAAAACAAAATCCTACCTAGAAAAAAGTGACAGCTTAGTGCCCCAAGGAATGGCAGGAAGAGACAATACCTTTAGGCAGATATCCCTCAGCTGTGCTCTGACTTCAGCTACTAGCATCATATTCTTGCTGTTGACAAAATTCTCTTTGCACCAATCCTGAACAGGACAAAAAGAGATATCACAATCCCCTCATTTTTACGGGGAAAAAAATATATATATAACAATTTTAGAACACAGCTGAATTCAGAAGGTAGACAGGGAAAACATCAGTTGCCAGAAATAGAGGAAAATATCTTTATATTAAAAAGCACGAACCACAATGGAAAATATTAATAACTCAAACTAAAGTGAAACTAAAAATGTTCTTATGTCAAAAGTCACCATGTCAAGAGCTATAGACTGGGAGAAAATATTTGTATCACCACACCCAGTAAAGGATTAGTACCTCCAGAATATATAAAAAACTCCTCAAAATCAGTAAGAAAAAGACCAACAATCCAACAGAAAAATGGACAAAGGATATGAACAGAAAACTACAGAAGAGGAACTACTAATGGCCAACAAACAAATGTAAGAATCCCTGATCTCTTGAGGAATCATGGCAACAGTTTAAAGTAACTGAGATATTATTTCACATCCATCAGCTTGGCAGAATTAAAGTCATTTTGACGAAGAGCCGCAGAGGATAATGGAAAATGGAAACTCATACCTTACTCTGGGGGGTATAAACAGTGTTAGCAACACTGGCGAGCCACATGGCTAGCCCGCAAAGCTCAGACCCAGCTACACCAAGACCCAGCAGCCCACTACCAGGGCTTGGCCCCAGAGAAATTCTCCCCATGCACACAAGGAGACATGTACAGGTGCTCACTGCAGCAGCAGAAATGGAAGCAAGCTGCAAGAGGACAGTGTAAGAAAATACTTACATAGTATATAATACGCATGGATACGAAGTAAAAGCGTATCACTCACTGGGAACATACACACCAACCTCAGGACAGCAGTTACACAGGGAAGCAGGGACAGGAAAGGAGATCAAGGCTTTTGCTGAATCTACAGCATTTTATTTCCTTAAAAATAAAGTACGGCAACTACAGGAGGCAGGGCCAAGATGGTGGAGTAGTCTGATGCTCCCAGTGGACCCTCTAACAACAAAGACCCGAAAAAACAAGTGATTTGATTATATATGGCAATCTGGGAGCCCTGAACATCAAGGGCAGAGTCGAGGAACCAGACTGAGTGGACGGGGGAGGGAGAGATGGTTCTCAAGCAGTGAGGAGTTGCCAGACCTGACCCGGCAAGAGCCTAAGCCCTTCAGGCCTGATCAGCTTGGGGGTGAGCGGACAGGCAGGCAAGCGGCAGTGCTCGGGAGGCACGTTTTCCGCACAGGGAAAGTCCCAGAGCCAGAGAGTCTACACGGCCACCCAGAACCAGTGAGAAGCAGCTCTCATCGGAGAAAGATAAGTACTTGCATATGGCTTACCGCGCGGATCAAAAACACCCCCCATAGGGAAAAATCTCTCTCCCATTTACCTCCCCGCTCCCTGCTCTGCACTGGGTCCCGGACAAGCTTTAGCAATTGCCGAGTCCCCTGGGATGGAAGTAGGATCCGTCACACGCCCGGAGCCCTTGTCCTTGCCTTGGAGAATAAACAAATTAACAGGAAAAAATAAACTGCTGGGTCCCCTAAGCCAGGAACCCACGGTAGGCACAGCTCCTTTGCCTAGGCACAGACATAAGGGATCCACGGACTGTGAGTGCCTTTCCCCCTGCATAGACTTCTGTGGGCCCATCTCAACAGCATAGGCCCTCATTACTGCAGTACAACAGGGTATATATCGGAACTCTAACTTCAACTGTTTTAGCTGTGAAGTGGCAGGTTCTTGACATTTGACACTGCTCTGCCCATTAAGCAGGGTCTTCACCTATCCACATCAGGGGACTAAGGACTGGTGGCTCCACCCAGGCTACCTAGCCCCCTGCAATAGGGGCCCATGAATAAGAAGTGCCCCCCAAGTCCTTATAGCCAACAGCATCAGGTGTTCATAGTCCAGCTTCTAAACCCACCCACCTGTGCACTCTAGGGAACAGGGACACGCCTTCCTC